GAGTTCCCAGAACTCCATTCCCGGGCCACATTTTGAATGCTGAGGCAGGCTGATGCTGAGGCTGAGGCAGGCTGAGGCTGAGGCAGGCTGAGGCTGAGACTGAGGCTGAGGCTGAGGCTGAGGCTGAGGCTGAGGCTGAGGCTTAGGCCTGAAGGCTGAGGCTGAGGCTGCAGGCTGAGGCTGCAGGCTGAGGAAGCAGACTGAGGCTGAGGCTGAGGCAGGCTGAGGCAGGCTGAGGCTGAGGCTGAGGCAGGCTGATGCTGAGGCAGGCTGAGGCTGAGGCTGAGGCTGATGCAGGCTGAGGCTGAGGCAGGCTGAGGCTGAGGCTGAAGGCAGATTGAGGCTGAGGCTGAAGCAGGCTGAGGCTGAGGCAGAGGCAGGCTGAGGCTGAGGCTGAGGCAGGCTGATGCTGAGGCAGGCTGAGGCTGAGGCTGAGGCTGATGCAGGCTGAGGCTGAGGCAGGCTGAGGCTGAGGCGGCTGAAGGCAGACTGAGGCTGAGGCTGAGGCTGAGGCCGAGGCTGAAGGCAGATTGAGGCTGAGGCTGAAGCAGGCTGAGGGAGGCAGGCTGAGGCTGAGGCTGAGGCAGGCTGATGCTGAGGCAGGCTGAGGCTGAGGCTGAGGCTGATGCAGGCTGAGGCTGAGGCAGGCTGAGGCTGAGGCCGAGGCTGAAGGCAGACTGAGGCTGAGGCTGAAGCAGGCTGAGGCTGAAGGCTGAGGCTGAGGCTGAGGCTGAGGCAGGCTGATGCTGAGGCAGGCTGAGGCTGAGGCTGAGGCTGATGCAGGCTGAGGCTGAGGCAGGCTGAGGCTGAGGCCGAGGCTGAAGGCAGACTGAGGCTGAGGCTGAAGCAGGCTGAGGCTGAGGCTGAGGCAGGCTGAGGCTGAGGCTGAGGCAGGCTGATGCTGAGGCAGGCTGAGGCTGAGGCTGAGGCTGAGGCAGGCTGAGGCTGAGGCAGGCTGAGGCTGAGGCCGAGGCTGAAGGCAGACTGAGGCTGAGGCTGAAGCAGGCTGAGGCTGAGGCTGAGGCAGGCTGAGGCAGGCTGAGGCTGAGGCTGAGGCAGGCTGATGCTGAGGCAGGCTGAGGCTGAGGCTGAGGCTGATGCAGGCTCAGGCTGAGGCAGGCTGAGGCTGAGGCCGAGGCTGAAGGCAGACTGAGGCTGAGGCTGAAGCAGGCTGAGGCTGAGGCTGAGGCAGGCTGAGGCTGAGGCTGAGGCTGAGGCAGGCTGAGGCTGAGGCTGAGGCTGATGCAGGCCACTGCGACTGTCATCGCGAATGCGACTACGACTGCGAGAACAGCAGAATTCTACAACTGGATTCTCATCTGAATCTTAAGGGGAATGCTTCCAGATTTGCTCCTAAACGGCCCAAGAGGGCCCCCAGACGGCCCAAGAGGCGCCCAAGACTGCCCAAGAGGGCCCGAAGACGGCCCCAAGAGGGGGACCACGAACCGAAAAGTCGAGCCTATCGCCCCAAGACGCACCCAGGAGGCCCCTACAGCCCTCCAAGAAGCCCCAAGAGGCCCCCAAGAAGCGACCCACGAGGCCATCAGGAGGCCCAAATCATAGGCTTTCTATGGGAAAAACGTTCATTGTTCCCTACATGTTTCGTGGGGTTCTGGTTTTCTTCCCTGCCGCGCCGCACCCGCGTCTCACACCTCCCCCCTGCCCTTCTCGCTTGCACAGCTCAGCTCAGCTCAGCACGGCACAGCTGAGCACAGCTCAGCCCAGCTCAACTCAGCACAGCACAGCACAGCACAGCACAGCACGGCACGGCACGGCACGGCACAGCACAGCACAGCTCACCGCACAGCAGCACAGCACAGCACAGCACAGCATAGCACACAGGGCATTCCTCGACGCCACAGGGGGTGCGCTGGGGGTGGGGGCCCTGTGCGTTGTTGGCTCCCAGGGCGTGGCAGGCGTGGCATTTCCTCGACGCCACAGGGGGTGCGCTGAGGGTGGGGGCCCTATGCGTTGTAGGCTCCCAGGGCATGGCAGGCGTGGCATTTCCTCGACGCCACAGGGGGTGCGCTGGGGGTGAGGGCCCTATGCGCTGTAGGCTCCCAGGGCGTGGCAGGCGTGGCATTCCTTCGACGCCACAGGGGGTGCGCTGGGGGTGGGGGCCCTATGCGCTGTTGGCTCCCAGGGCGTGGCAGGCGTGGCAGTTCCCCGACGCCACAGGGGGTGCGCTGAGGGTGGGGACCCTATGCGTTGTAGGCTCCCAGGGCGTGGCAGGCGTGGTCCAAGAGGCCCCCAAGACCGCCACAAGACGGTCCAATATGTTTCCAAGAGGCCCCCAAAATAGCCCAAGAGGGCGCCAAGACGGGCCAAGAGGCGCCCAAGACTGTCCAAGAGGCCCCCAAGAGCGCCCCAAGAAGGCCCAAGAGGCCCCCTAAGAGGGCCCCAAAACGGCCCAAGAGGGCGCCAAGACAGCCCAAGAGGCGCCAAGACGGTCCAAGACGGCCCCAGGACGGCCCCAAGAAGGCCCCGAGAGGCCCCCAAGAGAGCCCAAAGACGGCCAAAGGCAACCTAGTCCCTTCACCCCCGCAGCCCAGAAGCTCCCAGGAGGCCCCCAGAGGCCCCCGAAAAGCCCCAAAAGGTCCCCAAGAGGCACCCAAGAGGCTCCCCAAGAGCCCCCCAAGAGGCCCAAAATACTCCCAAAGGCTCTTAGCACCGCGGCTCCCAAGAGCGAGCGGTGACGTAATCGAGCTGATGAGACCAACGCTCCCAACCGAGAGCTGCGACGTAATAAGTTCTTGACGCCAGGGCACAGGGACGGGCGGCAACGCGTGGACAACGAGCGGTCCACGCAAGGACAACGCGGGGTTCTGGAAAGCTGGCAGCCCAAACGCGGAAAACGCAACGCGACCCGACCGCCCCCTCCAAAACAAGAAACGCGCTCAAAGAAAGCTCCGCGACTCTCCGAGCCTGAGATAGGACAAGAGCGAGGGGAAGGGAGTCAATAAGAGGTGTAAGAGCGGACGAGCCAGCGATCTCGTGCGCTCTGAAAGTAAGTGCGCTTTCCGTCCCCGTGCCGGCCCAGGTCTAATTGCATTCCCGCCTCGTGTTTTATCGAGTAGGACGGCCTTCGAGGCTTAAAACAGCGTTTCGCTCGAGACATAATCGGAGAACGCTTCTTGGGCCGTCTTAGGCGCCTAAGACAGCCCAGGAAGCGGCCAAGACGGCGCCCAAGACGGCCAAAGACTGCCCAAGAAGCGCCCAAGACGGCCCAAGAGCGCTCCAAGAGAGCCCAAGACCGCCCAAGACGGCCCCAAGACGTCCCAAGAGGCCTCCACGACGCCCCAGGAGGCTCCCACGAGGCGTCCCCAGAGGGCCCCAAGAGGCCAAACTCATTCATTGATTTTCTTAGGGGCAACGTGCATTTTTAGCATGTACGGCTTTTCGCCTTTCATAGCGTTGAAGACGGTCCAAGAGGCCCCCAAGACCGCCCCAAGGCGGCCCAAGATGTTCCCAAGAGGCCCCCAAAATAGCCCAAGAGGGCGCCAAGACGGGCGAAGAGGCGTCCAAGACTGTCCAAGAGGCCCCCAAGAGCGCCCCAAGAAGGCCCAAGAGGCCCCCTAGAAGGCCCCAAAAACGGCCCAAGAATGCCCCAAAAGGCCCCCAAGAGAGCCCAAAGACGGCCAAATGCAGCCTGGTCCCTGCACCCCCGCAGCCCAGAAGCTCCCAGGAGGCCCCCAGAGGCCCCCGAAAAGCCCCAAAAGGTCCCCAAGAGGCACCCAAGAGGCTCCCCAAGAGCCCCCCAAGAGGCCCAAAATACTCCCAAAGGCTCTTAGCACCGCGGCTCCCAAGAGCGAGCGGTGACGTAATCGAGCTGATAAGACCAAAGCTCCCAACAGAGAGCTGCGGAGTAATAAGTTCTTGCAGCCAGGGCACAGGGACGGGCGGCAACGCGTGGACAACGAGCGGTCCACGCAAGGACAACGCGGGGTTCTGGAAAGCTGGCAGCCCAAACGCGGAAAACGCAACGCGACCCGACCGCCCTCTCCAAAACAAGAAACGCGCTCAAAGAAAGCTCCGCGACTCTCCGAGCCTGAGATAGGACAAGAGCGAGGGGAAGGGAGTCAATAAGAGGTGTAAGAGCGGACGAGCCAGCGATACCGTGCGCTCTGAAAGTAAGTGCGCTTTCCGTTCCCGTGCCAAGCAGGTCTAACGGCCCAAGCTTCGGCCGTTATCGGCCCAAGATGGCCCAAAGCGGCCCAAAGAACCTACAAGAGGCCCCCAAGACGGCCCAAGAGCCCCCCGATGCGGCCTAACAGTCTCCCTAATACATTTTCTGTCCGGGCGGTTGTAGGCGGTGTTGCCCCCCCCCCCCCCCCCTCACAGAAGGAGCAGCATGGTGTCAAACCCTTTCCATCGTTACTTTGCTCAAGTTTGCGCGCCACCTGCCAGCGTAGAAACCATGTTGTTCCAACAGGTCTTGATTGGTCTTGCAAGGGTGTCGTGGTGATGGTGAAGGTGTCCGCCTTCTGCTGCCGTTCGGTGGCAACCTGCCGTGTAGATGTCCTCGCTCCGTTCATGGTGCGCTCAAGACGTTCGTCTCTGGTTCCACCGAGGGCTGAGTGGTTTAGTCAGCGTCGCGGTTTCTCACAGTTTACAACATGGGTCTGATTGCACATCGCAGTGCCTTAGTTCTCAGTCTGAGTGGTTCAAGCAACTGCTGCCAGAGTGCATATTGCGGCCCTGGCACTCGTGTCCCGTGCTTTGGTCCGATCCCAACAATCACAGCAATGACGCGAGAACCAGCATGGGGTTTGCGCCCTTCTTGTTTGTATTACCCGCGCATGTCTGCTGCTCTGCTCCGTCGCACCGCAACGTGCAATGTTTCCACCGTGACAGGCTGATGATTTGTACTATTGTCTTTCTGCCCGTCTGCCTGTCTGTCTGTCTGTCTGTCTGTCTGTCTGTCTATCTGTCTATCAGTCTCTCTCTCTCTACATACATGTGTCCTCGCATGCGCATCTCTATCCCCGCCCTTCGCGGAGGTCGACGAGCCCGAAGATGCGGAAACAACTGGAGGGAACTCTTCGATTAAGGTAGAGGACTCCGCCAAGATCAAGGAAGAGAAGAGTGGCGTGAAGGCCGCCACTTATTTGGTTTATGAACATACGCTGAACATGGAAAAGAATAACATGTACGGAGTTGCATCAAATCAGGCATATGCCTGCCTATCTGGTGTCCCAGGGAAGTATTTGATCCTCCGAATGCTTTGTCACCGTGAATCGGGGGCCTCCAAACGGTGTGGTGACCACACCGTGTGGTGAGTCGGTGGGGATTCGGGGTGACCGTGCGGTTCTGGGACTTGGGTCGTTCTCCGAGGATGTCTCGGGCGAGTGGGGCCAGCATAATCCCAGGGCCGTGCGGTGAGGGACCGTGCGGTGGGTGTCTCTTGGGATCTCGAGGTCCCCGCGCGGTCTGTCACCGCACCGCTTTGGGCCTTGGCATCGCTCGGACGTGTGCATTTTTTTCCTTCGGCGAGGACCCTCGAGGAGCATCCTTGACCGTTTGGCGAAAAAAACACGCACGAAACCGAAAAAATACAGGTAATGGACGTCCGAGCGATGGCGGGGGGACGCCCGGCCGCCTGCGGCACCCTCTCTGCACCCTGCCCCGCTGCCTCAGGGCCCGGCGCTCCGCCTCCCGCTCGGCCGCTGGGACCGGGCCCTGCCCCACAGGCGGGGGCGGGCACGGAGGCCGACGCCTCTCCGGGTCGCGCCCCCCGCGGCTCGGCGCCTCGCTCGCACGCGTGAGGTTTTTGTCTTTCCTCTCCGCGAGGCCAGCGCAGGAGCAGCTGGGCCGTCCTGGAGGCTCTCGGATTTTCTCTCCGCAGAGAGAAGAAGATATGAGACCCGTGCGAAGCCAGGCGGTGTGCACGGGGGATGTGCGCCCGAGCGATGGCAAGGTGGGGAGGAGGAGGAGGAGGAGGAGGAGGAGGAGGAGGAGGAGGAGGAGGAGGAGGAGGAGGAGGAGGAGGGAGCACGCGTGGGCGACATTCCCCCAGAGAGCAGTTTGCGCGCCGACCCCCGCCCCGCCCGGGGCAGCAACGGCCTCCGAGGGCCAGCCATGGTGTGCGACAGGCTCGCGCTGCGGCGCCGGCGCGGTGGCGGCCCGCCGCGAGGTCGCTCGAGGCTTAAGTCGGGCGTGTCCCCCTACAGGGGGATTTTCGACGACAAATAAAAAATGCCCCATAAACACTCCAAGAAGGTCAAAACATATTCAAATAGTCCCCAGACTATTTTTGGAGCATTGTTTGATCATTTTTAGGGTATTTTTCATTTTTCGTCGAAAATCCTCCTGTAGGGGGACAGGCCCGACTTAATTCAAGGCTCAACACAGCCGATGTTCTGGCGTCGGTCGATTTCTAATTGCCGATCTGCGCCATCGGAACGCCGTGATTGCTCGCGATTGCTCGAGGTTGAACGATCTAAATGTTGCCAGGAACCAACGCTCAAGTCGTCACGCGTGAACCTGTCGCACATACCTTCGACACGCCAGGGGAGCGCTCTGGAGCACTTTGGAATGGCTGCGTCGCCAGTCACGTCCTTGAGATTCGCTGGCTCTCAGAGAACCCTGGGCTGCTTGTATTCCAAGTTGTTTGGCTAGCACCCCCTCATGCCGCCCCCCCAGGTCTCCGACAGCTTGGTTTTCGCGAGTCGCTGCCCCCTGGTCCTCCTGGCTCCTTTCCTGGAACCATATCCTAGGCAATGAGGATGGGCCCGGAGGCATCGGATCGCAATTCTGCATAGCCGTCGGTGTGTGGTCGTGCGGTCGTCGAGGTTGGGTTAGCGATCCAACGGCCTCCTCCAACTCTCGTTCGTTAGGATGCAGTCGTGTCCCATCCGTCGCCTTTGCCAGACATGTGGTGCTCTGTTGCGCCGTCAAACTTGTTTCTGACAGTGGTTGTGGCCGTCGTGCGTTCACTACCTCATCCGTTTTTCCATCGCCCTGAATGTTGGGGCAGCCTTGCTTTGCACGCCGCTTGCACGGCGCCATGGCACGTTCCCGTGGTAGGTCAGGGCATGGTAGTCTTCCCGTCTGGATTGCGTCCTCAGGCTGTATGAGGTCGAGGTCGTCCCGTTGCGGTTGGTCATGCCGGTCTGGGTTGTGTGTATGTAGTGGTCCTCCAGACTCACTTTGTGCGGCTTGGCCTACAGCTGGTCCGACGCCGCTTCGGAACCGTCAATCTGTTCCCATGTCGTCACCAGCTTTGTCGGCTGCATCGTCATTGTAGCCAGGTCGCTGGGCTCGTATGCGTCGGTTGTTAACGGTGTGATATGGTGCGGCTCGCTAGGGTCGATTGTCGCACTCCTTGTCCTTCGCGCACTTGAGCTCCTCGTTGTCGGTGCAGGGTGCTTTCGCGTGGGCGGTAAAGACGATCCTCTCCCTGGCGTGCCGATGAATTCTCGTAGTGGGCTGATCGCATGGGGTGTCATCGCCTCCGTTGTAGTGATGCAGCCATCTCTTTCTGCCATCGGAGACGGAGTCTGCACAAGGTGTGAAGGGCAACGCCTGCGGTAGAAGCTGCCGAGACTCGTCGTCGTCGATGGGGATGGTCGTATGGAGGCTAGATGGCGTCGACCATTTCCACATTGGTGAGGCGCTCTCTCGCTTTTGCTGCGTCTTGACAGAATTGGTGCTACTCTTCGGTCGCATCCTCTGCAGGCCTTTCGTGGATCTCTCTCATGTTCCTCTAGTCGCTCTTCTTCGGGAGCGGAAGGACCGTATCTCATGCTGGAGTGCGTCCTGTCGTCATGCTGTGCTGTGCCCAATTCGGCCCTCTGTATCGCAAGCTGTACCTTCCCTTCTGCCTGTAGTGCTCTGCGCCTGGTGCTCGTGCTCGCTCATGTCTGTGAGTATTTTGTGTAAGCAACCTTGTTCATGCTGTGCCTGCTCACCGTCTCGTTTGCTGGCCTGGCACTCGATTATGTGGACCAGCTGCTGGTACTCGCTGCGTATGACGAACGATCAACACGCACCCATACCCATAGGGGGGACGGAATGAGCTATGGGTGCGTGTTGTCAGAGGGGGGTCCTCGCTCGAATGGGAGCCTCCCCAGGGGTCCGACAACCCGCACCCATACCCATAGCCAGTCCTTCTCCCTCCGACCTCCCTATGGGTATGGGTGTGTGCTGTTCGTTCGTCGGCGTATGCCGCATACCATTGATGCATGTCTCTATGTTGCATTTGAAAACTCCTCATGTGCCTGTTACATTATGGCGTCCGCCTCGCCCCTCTCGCTGTGGATGATCATGTTACTGTCGTACTCCTTCATCCTGGTTCTGCCGCGCTCCTTTCCGCCTCCAGCAGCTGCTGCTTCATTATGGCGCGGTCCTTGTTGTTGTCGATCAGACGTTGTGGTGCTTCTCTGAGCCCCCTCTGCAACTTGTCGGTCATCTCGCTGGAATGCTTGTTTCTTATGCGTTGTCCTTTAACGCGTGGGGCTCCTCCTCTGTCCTCTTGAATGTAGCCAGGATTCTTATGTGTAGGAACTCCGATGCGCCGCACGAGGTCAGCTTGGTGTTGTGGGTCTCGTACATGAGCTCGGTGTGGCTGTGCTTGGCCGTTGCTGCCTCGCTGCCTCGCCGCGCTGGCTGTCAGCATGCTCGCTGGCTGCTTCTTCTGCTGCTTGGAGGTGCTTCCTGAGGGAGTTGAACTCATTGATGGCCTCGTTATTTGTCTTTCTGATGTCTGCGGCCATGCGGCGATTGTCCTCCTTGACCGTACTCTGTCCCTCGACCGTTTCTCCCGCCATTGTTTGTATCGGCGGCGCTGGGGTGGGTGTCCTCTTTGACGACGGTTATGTGTGTGTGTGTGTGGTTTGCTGTATGGCCCCTTCGGGTAGACCTGTATGTTGTAAATGTGGGCGTTGGCATGCTAGTAGTAATCCTCCGTGGTCCTCTTGGTGTTGTCGATATCCCTTGTTTGTTGAGCTGGGGGCATGCTGTTGAGGATCATGGATGGCTTCGATGAATGCGACCTGGGTAACGGCGTCAGTCGTGGGTAGGCATGCTGCGCATTGGCGATAGTTGTAGCGCCACGCCTCTTCTCGACGTATGTGATGTTCTTCCGTGCTTCCTTGAGCTTGGGGTCGTTCGGTGGCAACTCCAAGTCATGTCTCCTGGCGGCGTAGATCTCCCTCATTGGCATGACGTTGTTGATGGTGTAGGCGATGTGGTGGTTGCAGTCCTGGTTCGCCTCTTTTTTGTTTGGGGGGGGGAGACGTTTCCTGCTCGAGTTGTTGCTTTGCTTTGCCCTTGCTTGTCGCTATTCCCGACCATCCTGTGGTGTTGGGTCTTCGTTTTGACGAGACGGTCACCAAGTTCCTTCCGTCCGTCCTTCCTTCCATTCTCCCCCCCTCCTCCCTCCTCCCATCCATTGCCTCTGCACTCCGCATGCCTTCGTCGTCGTCTCCCCGACCTAGCACGGCGTTTCGTGGCCCCCCTTGGAAGCTCCACCTCATGCCCTAGTGGCGGTGTCCACATGCTTCTCCCCCACACAGCACAGCGATTCGTTTCGTGGCCCCATGGGGAGCTCCATCTACGGCCCCAGTGGCGGAGTCCACGTGTACCTCCCCCACTCAGCACGGCGCGCCGTGGCCACATAGGGAGCTCCATCTACGGCCCCAGTGGCGGTGTCCAGATGCGTCTCCCCCACCCAGCGCTGCGCTTCGTCGCCCCATAGGGAGCTCCACCTACTGCCCCCGTGGCAGTGTCCACATGCGTCCCCCCCCACCCAGCACAACGTTTCGTGGCCCCATGAGAGCTCCATCTAAGGTCCAAGTGGCGGTGTCCACATGCGTCTCCCCCACCCAGCACACCGTTTCGTGGCCCCGTCGGGAGTTCCACTGAATGTCCCTGTAACGGTGTCCACATGCGTCTCCCCCACCCAGCACAGCGTTTCGTGGCCCCGTAGGGGGCTCCACGTAAGGCCCCAGTGGCGGTGTCCACATGCGTTCCCCCCCCACCCAGCACATGATTTCGTGGCCCCAGGGGGAGCTCCACCCTAGGCCCCAGTGGCGGCGTCCACATGCGTCTCCCCCACCCAGGACAGCGTTTCGTTTTGTGGCCCCAGAGGGAGCTCCACCTAAGGCCCCAGTGGCGGTGTCCACATGCGTCTCCCCCACCCAGCACGGCGCGTCGTGGCCCCAGAGGGAGCTCCACCTCATGACCCAGTAGCGGTGTCCACATGCGTCTCCCCCACCCAGCGCAGCGTTTCCTGGCCACATAGCGAGCTCCACCTAAGGCTCCAGTGGCGGTGTCAACATAAGTCTCATCCACACAACACAACGCTTCTTGGCCCCATGGTGAGCTCCACCTGACGCCCCAGTGGCGGTGTCCACATGCGTCCCCGCACCCAGTACCGCGCTCCGTGGCCCCATGGGGAATGCCTCCTTAGGGCCAAAGTGGCGGTGCCCACGTGCGAATTCCCATCCAGTACAACATTTCGTGGCCCCATGCCCCCCGCCCAGCACAGTGTTTCGTTGTCCCATAGGGAGCTCCACCTTAGGCCCCAGTGGCGGCCTCCACATGCGTTTCCCCCACCCAGTACAGCGTTTCTTGGCCCATCGGGAACTCCACCGAAGGCCCCAGTGGCAAAGTTCGCATGCGTCCCCCCCGCCACGTGTAGCATGTCGTGGCCCATCGTAGACGATACCGAAGACGATATCCACAACAGCGATACTCACAACTGCATCTGGTTGGGTCCTTCGCCAGGATGATTAGTTTTGCCTTTCTGGCTCTGGCTGTCGGCATCGTGGTCGTTCTTCGTGGCGTTTCCCTTTCCACTGCTCCTGTTGTCCTTCCCGTTGTAGGGCCGGTTCCAGCACAAGTCGGGGTGGTCCTTCGCCCACTGGGCCGTCCAGCTGTAGTTCCTCCGGCGCTCGAGGCCTGGCCTTATCGCCAGTGTAGTAGAACCTGGTGGAGCTCCTCTGCTTCGTGGGCGGCTTGGTGTCGACCTCCAAGGGGGATGGCGCAATTCCCGATCCACTCGCGGTTGTTCCCCTATGCCGTCGCCATTGTTGGAACGTCAGGTGGAAGTTTTGGTGGTTGTTGAGCGCTGCGGTGCGCTTGCAAGATTGGTATCGGTTGTCCTGGTCGAGAAGTTAGCGTGCTGCGTCGACTCGTAGTAGTACTCATGCTTGAGCCCGTTGCTCGCGTCACCAACGACGCCAGGCTGGGTTGGTCGACGAAGTCGTGGTGTCCGGAGGGGGAGAGGATGTAGTCGAAACGGAATTTCAAAGTATCGGTTAGAACAAGATGCAAGAGGCGGATGGGGGAAACAGATAGGTTTTCGGTTGAGGCTGGCCCCTTAGGGCTGGCACACTGCCACGGATTTCGGTCCTCCTCTCCTCCTCCTCCTCCTCCTCCTCCTCCTCCTCCTCCTCCTCCTCCTCCTCCTCATCATCATCATCATCATCATCATCCTGCCCATCTCTCCCTCTCCTCTCTCCGTCCCCTCGCTCCGGGTCGTCGGCTGGCCGCGCCCCGGTCAAGGTCAAGGCGGAGAAGGGCTTCGACGTGGACGAGAAGGAGTCGGCCAAGAAGGAGAGGGGCTGGGGTTTCAAAGTATGTGGGATGACGAGGGAGGAGGAGGAGGAGGAGGAGGAGGAGGAGGAGGAGGAGGAGGAGGAGGAGGAAAGAGGAGGAGGAGGAGGAGGAGGAGGAAGAGAAGGAGGAGGAGGAGGAGGAGGAGGACCCAGGCATGCATGCGCCCTGGTAAAGTTCACGACGGTCGATGTTCGGCCGTTTTCGGCTCACGGGGGAACCTCGCTGGGCCTGGGGACCGTCAACGGAACGGCTCGGGATGAGCAACTGCCCTGGGGAAAGGGTCGGAACTTCTGGGACCTCGTATTGAAGACAAATAAGACAGCGTTTGACCCTCTCCCCCGCGCCGTGGCCGTCAGGAGGGGGTCCAGTGACGATTCAAGAAATCTGCGCAGTTCTGAGCTTATGTTTATGATGTTCATTGTTCTTGAGGGGGATCGGACGAGGGGGTGGAGGAGGGCAATGGCCAGGAAGTGGAGGAGCACCTGGGAGGATCGCAGATGGAGGATGGTGCCTTTTGGTGGCCTCCTTGGGGTCCCGCGTGGCCGCGGCTGGATCCGCCTTGAAATTCTGGCGCCAGAACTGGACATGTCCAGGGGTTAATTTTGAGGAAGGGTGGATCGAACCTCTCGTCGGGATAAAACCCGGTTCTAATCTTCGCTTCCTCTCCCATCCCATTTTCTTTCCCTCTTCCCTTTCCCCTCGTTTCCCTGCTGTTCTTTGCCCGAGGATGTTTCTGAGCTGCTGCTGGTTCCTGTATAGTTGTGTATATTTACATGCAGTTTCACATGAGTGTACGTATATGGATACACGTAGATGTCACAACATGCATACACGTACGCATGTATGTATGGCTTTCTTAGCGGAATTTTCTATTTGGGGCCGTGGTGAGGGCCTCTTGGGCCCTTCTTGAAGGCCTTTGGGGCCGCCTTTGGACAATGTTAGGAGCATCTTGGGCCGTCTAGGGCAAGACCACAAAGCCGAGTTTACGAAATCATGCAGACGACTTGGTTTACGAAGTGGCCTACAGTTGGCTCCGGGTATTCAACATGTGGCCTGGGAATGGTGTTCTCGGAACACTATTCCCAATAATCTATAGGAATCTATAGGAATCTATAGGAATCTATAGGAGTCCTTGGGAGTCCCCGGATTTCCCGGATTCCCCGGATTCTCCCCGCACCCGCCCAGACTTCCCTGGGGAGTCCAGATGCTTTCTTTTGAGCCCACTAGAAACCTATCAGTCTTCGCTGTTAGGTAAAAACTGCTCAGTACTATTACGGGCTAGCATTCGCCCAGCCAGTGTCCAAGCCTCCCATCGCACCTTCGCAGCTTCGTCTGGCCCAGCGGCGGGCCCGCGGCGCAGCGCGTGCTGCTCTCGCGCCGAGTCGCCGCCCGCGGACGCAGCGGGCGTGACTCGGCGTGCTCCTGCAGGCGCCGCTCACCCTGACCAGCTGCACCTGCTGGTTGGCCGGCGCCTGAGCGCGTGGTTCTCCTGGGAGCGCTGGGACCCAGAGCGCGGCCTCCTGGCGCGAGCTCCGCCCATGGTGCGCTGGCCGTATCTCGAGATGAGTTCGCGGGGGTGGACAGCCGCGGGCCGCGTGCACGTGCATAATGCGTTGTGGAGCTGCATTTTCGGGTGCCCTCGCCCCGGTTGCATCGCCCGCTATTTCAAGTGCGCCCCCCTCGCGCACCTTGTCTGTCGTCCTCGAGCCGTCGTCCCTCCTTGCCCCGTCCTCCCGCCTCGGGCTCGGCCTCCCTGTCCCTCAGTCTGCCTTGAACCTCACGCGTAAAAATGCGATCTTGGCCACAACTGTTTTTCCTATATCCACCACATAGCACAGGAAGTGGCCGCGAAGCAAGATGGATCGCCCCTCACGCTCCCGCAGCAGCTTGATGTAGTGAACGCTGCACAGGCTAAATGCGTAACGAATGCTCCCGGCTTCCTCCTCCGCCTAACGCTGCTCGACCCTACAGGTGGTTGAAACCAGCAGCCTGGAATTGAGTATGGTGAGACATGGAACCCATCATGGTAGTGGCGGTCCTCTTCATCCTCTCCCTCCCCTCCCTTTCACCCTGTCCTGCTGCTGCTCCTCAGCCGCAGACATGAGGCACGGCAGCTGAATAACACGGCCACCCGGGGCCAGGAAGACATGAAGGATATCAAAAACGAGGGCAACGTGAAGCACGAGGGCGCGGTGAAGTCAGAGAAGCGCATCAAGACCGAGATCAAG